TCAGCAGGAGCACTGGGACCGATTTCCTGCCTCCAGAACTCGCTGCCCTTAAGCAGGCAAGTGGCTATGTCTTAAGCACATGAACGCCTAAAGCTGCCTTCTACTGAGTCAGACACGTGGTCCATCAGAGTCAGACTGGCACCAGCTCGCCCAGATTCCCTCTAGATCAGGGGTGTCGAACTCATTTGTTTTGAGGGCCGGAACTGACATAAATGAGACCTTGTTGGGCCGGGCCATGTGTGTCATGAAATGTAATGCCAGGTAGCGGAGAGATAAACTTTATAAAGGACACAGACACAAAGGGTTTTTTTTTAACTTAAAATAAAATCATGCTTAAGACATGAGCACTCTTGCAATATTTTTTTTATTTAACAGTGTCTGATAACTGACACCTCTTGCTCTGAAGTACTGCATTAAAACATCTGTGCTGTTGCAGGCTTGAGTATGCTGTTCAGGTGTGTATCTGTAAGCTGCGAACCCACGATGACGCAGCCGCAGCAGAACTGGAAGAAGAAGCAGAAGACAGCCCATTCCACTGCAGGCCTGATAGAAGCCCCTCCGGGGGCCTGGTCCGGCCCCCAGGCCGCATGTTTGACACCCCTTCTCTAGAGGTTTTTCATATCCCCCCCCCCCTGCCAGATTTTTTAACTGGCGATGCCAGAAGCAAGCCACTGCTTTTGAACCCGTGCAATGGAACTCACCAGCCAAGGATTCCTTTCCCTGAGGATCAGAATCCGGCTCCATCCCCCATGCTGGCGCTCTGCGCGCACATAATAATGCTTAAAAGTATCGCTGATCACGTCTCAGTCATCCAGTTTTATTATTTTTTTTGGAGCATTTGTGTGGGCTCGGTTAAATTAAGACGGCATTGTCTGCTTAATTGCGTTTTGTCTCGCGTCTGCAGCATCCTTCTTCTTTGGGGAATTGGTGCTCGTTGTCGAGTCAAATGCCTGTTCGGGTTTCTTTGCCCTGCCCTCCCGCCCCGATCCTCCAGTATCAGGGTGACCCACAGTCTCGTCCGTCTGCCAGCAATGCTTGTTGTCTGCTGGTTCGAGTCACAAAGTAGGGCGTCTGAAGGTCACCTTGAGCTGGGGCAAGGATTTGAACTAGGGTCTCGCCCTATAGGAAAGATCGTGAGAGGGAGGGCAGGAAGGGTTGCATCAGGGCTTAATTCTCGTGGCCCTTTCTTACATGGCCAGGGAAATGTGGATTGCCACTTTGGGGTCCGGAAGCAATTGTTCTCCAGGCCACTTTGGCTGGAGATTCTGGAGGTTTTCAGTCTTCTTCTGGGTGTGGAACAACGGTCACTGGGGGTGTGGAGGGGCAGGTCTTTGTGAATTTCCTGCATTGTGCAGGGGGTTGGACTAGATGACCCTGGAGGTCCCTCCCAACTCTGTGATTCTATAACCTAGCACCAGAGCCAGTTTGGTGTAGTGGTTAAGTGTGCAGACTGTAATCTGGGAGAACCGGGTTTGATTCCCCACTCCTCCACTTGCACCTGGCTGGATGACCTTGGGCAAGCCGTAGCTCTGATAAGAGCTGTTTTTGAAAAAGAGCCGTTTCTGTCAGAGCTCTCTCAGCCCCACCCACCTCACAGGGTGGCTGTTGTGGGGAGGGGAAGGGGAAGGAGTTTGTGAGCCGCTCTGAGACTCCTTTGGGTAGTGAAGGGCGGGGTATAAATTCTCCTTCTCCTCCTCCTCCTCCTTCTCTTCCTCCTCCTTCTCCTCCTTCTCCTTCTTCTGCCTCTCTTGTTACATTCAAACCATAGAATAAACTCAGGAGGTCTTTTCACATTGCCTGCCGCCTGATCCTTTTAGTTGGAGATATTGGAGATTGAACCGGGGGCCTTCTGCATGTCGATGCTCTACCACTGACCCACAGCCCCTTTTTGAATTGGGAACCAGAGGGGAGGGGCAAGAACGTGGCCCAGCAGAGGACAACCCCCCCCCCTCATGGCTCTGCTTTCAACAGTCTTGTTCGATAAGGCGGCCCCTTGTACGTCCTTTTGCCTTGGTGTCTCAGGATGCAGACAGTAACCCAGCCCCTCTCTCTCTTGTTGCAGGTTACCTTAAATGCGATACAGACGATGGCTGCGAGAACAAGGAAGAAGGCGGAGGGGAGGAACTGTTCGACACGGTCAATTCCTCCATCGTTTCCGGGGACAGCATCAGGTTCTTTGTGAATGTCAACTTGGACGTCCAACAGAATGTGACAGGTAAGGGGGCCACGGTTCTCGGCTTCCTGGACAGGCCACGGCCTCGGTCTCGGTCTTTGGCATGGGGCCTTTCATGCGCCTGGGACAGTTTGCACCCTTCTTTCCTTTATTTGCCCCAGAGAATGGTGCCTGTTGTGTGGGCCTCTGCATGGTTTGTCGCAGGGCTATTTTTGGGCAGGAACGCACAGGAACGGAGTTCCTGCTGGCTCCCAAGTTGGCCACACCCAGCAGGAACTCATTAGCATAATAGGCCACACCCAACAGCAGAAACTCATTAGGATTGGCTACCTTAGGGGTGTGTGGCCTAACATGCAAAGGAGTTCCTGCTCCAAAAAAAGGCCCTGGGTTTTGACAACAAACAAGGTAAACAGAATAAGAAGTAAAAGGTGGGTGTGGCTGGATGACCACACTTCTGGTAACACGGGGGGGTGTGGCCTAATATACTAATGAGCTGTGCTGTCATGGGTGTGGCCTAATATGCTAATGAGTTCCTGCTGGGCTTTTTCTACAAAAAAAGCCCTGGTTTGTCGTCATGCTCCTGTGGAGGACGGTCGAAGCGCATCGCCAGGGTGTCCTGGGGAGCCGAACCCTGTGTGCGCCCCCCCTTCCTCCGTCACGCATAGTTGAACTGGCTGGCTGCCAGAGCCACAGGGGCGAAGTGAGTGCAGGTTCGAAAGATAATGTGCAGCCTGATGCACGACAATTTTTTTAAAAATAAGTTGTTGAAGGTTTTCCACAGCCGGAGTTCATTCGCTGCTGTAGATTTTCCGGGTTGTATGGCCGTGGTCTTGGCATCGTAGCTAAAAAATTGTTTTCACTTTTCTGTGTTTTTTCTTTGAATTTTTGTAGCACTCAATTTTGTTTTTAAAGGTACTACCAAGAATCCCACAGTGTAGCACTTGTTAAGTTCCAAAAAGCACAGGCGGATATAAATTTATTACCAAGTGGGTGGGTGGGTGGAGAAGAAATTGGATTTATACTGCACCCTTTGCTATATAAAGGAGTCCCAGAGGGGCTTACAATCTCCTTTCCCTTCCCCTCCCCACAACAGACACCCCGTGACTGGTGGGGCTGAGAGAGCTCTTTAGAGGACTGCTCTTGAGAGAACAGCTCTGAGAGAACTTGTGACTGACCCAAGGTCACACCAGCAGCTGCAAGTGGAGGAGTGGAGCATCAAACCCGGTTCTCCCAAATTGGAGTCCGTGCTCTTAACCACTACACCAAACTGCAGTTTTGGATCCAATGTAGGCGCACACCCTTCAGGTGAATGGCCTTTTGAAACCAGAACTGTCTTACAAGCCCTGCAGAAGGCCTCCAAGGGCAGCCCCGCATAGAGCATATTGCAGTAATCTAGGCTGGTGGTTCCAGAAGTGAGGATGGGTAACTTCCAGACTGGCTCGGGAAGACTGTTCCATAGCTTAGGGGCTGTGACTGAAATGTTTCAGGAACAGACCATGGCCAAATTTGGGGGGAACTGAGACAAGGAATTGGTGCGAGGGCCATAACTGGTGTATGGCTTGGTACAGGAAGAGACGGGCCCTTGGTCTGCCTTTTGTGAAAGTTGAATTGTCTGAACTGTCTCCAAGGGCAGCCCCGCGTAGAGCATATTGCAGTAATCTAGGCTGGTGGTTCCAGAAGCGAGGATCAGTGAACTGAGTAGAGCGAGTCTAGAAGACGGGACTTTTTACTAACCCGAATAGTGAAGTCCAAGCAGCAGCTCTTGCCAACATAGAGACAACAGCACCTTTTCCCCGAGCCAGAAACGTGGAGATCTGTGCACTGGGCCAGAGAGAACGAGAGAGAGAGAGAGCGCACAGTGGTAAAACGCTGCCTCTTGCTTGAGCCTGCGTTCTCCGGTTGCACTTTCCTGAGCGTTTAAGATCTTCAGAAGTAGATTTGCACGAGCCAAGAAGGCAGAGTTCGCCTCTGAAACGCTAGAACTTCACAGAACGCTTTGTGCAGTTTTCAAAGCCATCAATCGTCAGATAGGCATCGGCTGTGCCCTTTCCGAAGTCTTGTTTTTGGAAACCGGAGCCGCTTGTGTCGCAACAGTTAGGCGGCCTTGGTTTGGTGGTGGTTTTTTGAAAAAATTATTTGAAACTGTCTGTGTGTCGCGTATACTCAATAAGGCGTAGAATGGGTAGAGTTGATAGTGTAAACAGAGAAGTCCAGCACCGGCCCTGCTGAGGCACAACAGATGAGCCCACTGGAGAGTTACCGGGAAATGAAAATAATTTCCACCTGCCAGTCTCTTGGCCGCCTCCACGGAGCAAGAAGTGCCCAAGCGAGGCTCACCAGAGGTGAACGAGAAACAAATAAGGATGCGGCCACCTGGGGAGGATTATTATGATGTATTATTTATTTAATTTATACCCCACCTGTCTCTCCAGTGGGGACTAAGGTTGCCAATCTCAGTTGGGGACAGGGGATCCCTCGGTTTGGAAGAGAAGAAGAAGAAAGAAGAGATTGGAGTTATACCCCACCCTTCACTACCCAAAGGAGTCTCAGAGCGGCTCACAAACTCCTGTCCCTTCCCTTCCCCAACACAGACACCCTGTGAGGTAAAAGAAGAAGAAGAGATTAGATTTATACCCCGCCCTTCACTCCCCAAAGGAGTCTCAGAGCGGCTCACAAACTCCTGTCCCTTCCCTTCCCCACCACAGACACCCTGTGAGGTAAAAGAAGAAGAAGAGATTAGATTTATACCCCGCCCTTCACTACCCAAAGGAGTCTCAGAGCGGCTCACAAACTCCTGTCCCTTCCCTTCCCCACCACAGACACCCTGTGAGGTAAAAGAAGAAGAAGAGATTAGATTTATACCCCGCCCTTCACTCCCCAAAGGAGTCTCAGAGCGGCTCACAAACTCCTGTCCCTTCCCTTCCCCACCACAGACACCCTGTGAGGTAAAAGAAGAAGAAGAAGAGATTGGATTTATACCCTGCTCTTCACTACCCAAAGGAGTCTCAGATCCGCGCACTCAGCCACTACACCAAACTGCCACTTCTGGGCTGTCAGAAAGCGGGGGTGGGGAATAGCTGCTGGGCCCTCCGTTATACCCTATGGAGACTTGTCCCCCATAGGGTATAATGGAGAATCGATCTGTGGGTGTCTGGGGCTCTGGGGGGGCTATTTTTTAAGTTAGAGGCACCAAATTTTCCGCATAGCTGCTGGTTCCTCTCCTCGAAAAGACCCCAAAGTTTCAAGAAGATTGGACCAGGGGGCCCAATTTTGTGAGCCCCAAAAGAAGGTCCTCCCTTCCTCCATTATTTCCATTATTTCCAATGGAGGGAAAACATTTAAACATTTAAATCCAACAGCCAGCTCACCTGGAACTCACTCTGCCCCCTTGTCAGCCTCACCTGGCAACTCTAGTGGGGACCCAAGGAGGCTTGCATCATTCTGCTCTCCTCTATTTTATCCTCACAACAACGCCGAGAGGTAGGTTAGGCTGAGAGAGTGTGTGACTGACCCAAGCTCGCCCAGCAAGATTCCATGGCAGAGTGGGGATTTGAACCCGGGTCTCCCAAATCCTAGTCCAACACTCTAGCCCCTATACTGTGCTGGCTCTGGATTATTGGCAAGGAGATGCCATATTCGAACACAGTGTGTATGGGATGAAGGAAGAAGAAGAAGAAAAGTTGTGTATGGGATGAAGGAAGAAGAAGAAGAAAAGTTGATTCTTATACCTCACTTTTCACTATCCAAAGGAGCCTCAGAGTGGCTTACAATCTCCTTTCCCTTCCCCTCCCCACAACAGACACCCTGTGAGGGAGGTGGGGCTGAGAGAGCTCTTTCGAGGACTGCTCTTTTCAAGAAGAGCTCCGAGATAGCTTGTGACTGACCCAAGATCACCCAGCTGGCTACATGTGAAGGAGTGGGGAACCAAACCCGGTTCTCCCAGATTAGAGTCTGCCGCTCATAACCACAACGCCACATTTGAGTCTGGCAGTTACCGTTCAGTCAGTGGTCTGGTGAGGTTTGGGGCTCTTGATATGGAAGAAGGCCAGCAAAATGCACATGGGCCTGCCACGGTGCCTGCCAACACTTTTCCTGGTACCTGCCAAGAGTTTTTAGAAAATGGATTGGGGCCAGGTGGGCTCCTGCCCAGCAAAGCTACTGGTTGCCCATTGGAGAGCTGATTGGCTGTGTAGATTAAAGTAATATTTCAGTAGCTGCCACAGCAGTGTTGGTTTTATTCTCTCTCTGACTTCTCTTTCCCGCTGTATTTTAAAATTTTTTAGTCCTCTTGTCCCCTGCATTTGAGCCAGTTTGGTGTAATGGTTAAAAGCGCGGACTGTAATCCGGGAGAACCGGGTTTGATTCCCCACTCTGACACATGCAGCTGCTGGGGTGACCTTGGGTCAGTCACAAGTTCTCTCAGAGCTGTTCTCTCAGGAGCAGTTCTCTCAAGAGCTCTCTCAGCCCCACCTACCTCACAGGGTGTCTGTTGTGGGGAGAGGAAGGGAAAGGAGATTGTAAGCCACTCTGAGGCTCCTTTGGGAGCTCTCTCAGCCCCCCACCTACCTCGCAGGGTGTCTGTTGTGGGGAGGGGAAGGGAGAGGAGTTTGTAAGCCGCTCTGAGACGCCTTTGGGTAGTGATGGGCGTGGTAGAAATCCAATCTCTTCTTCTTCCTCCAACTTGGTGGTTCTATGATAGTCTCAGGGTATGCAGCCAAAATGGGCATTTTCCAGAGCTCTGGGATGGGACGGCCCCCGTCCCCAAATGTTGTCACCATACAAAGCACAGAATAGTTACAAGAATGGGCGCAGTAATAAGACCAATGAAAAAAGAAAAAAGAACTGTGACAATTTAGCGCTTGGTACTATATTCATAAATCATGATATACAATAACAGAAAATAAGTAATACATATAGTGAATGTAGACGGTGGTCTCCGGAATGGTGTGCCGTTTCGACAATGATCTTCTTCTGAACAAGTATGTGTACCTTCTCAAATACAGCAATACAAGTCTCATTTAAAATTATATATAACAGTGTGC